ATATATATATATATATATAGTATATATATATATATATATATATATATATATATTGTATGTANTATATTAGTATATATATATTACAACAAACACACACATACACATACACACGACATATAATATATATATGTACATAATATATATATATATATATATATATATATATACATATATATATATATATACATATACATCCATCCACCCACATACCGTGCTCTGTCGCGGTCCCTGTCTCGGTCACTGACACTTAGCTTGCGATCGTCCTTGGGCTCGTCCGCTGAAGTGGTTAAAGAGGCTGCAAGCATAGCCGCAGCTTCTTGGATTTTGCGTTGTGCTTCGGTGTATTCCTTTGCTTGAACCTCAGCCTTCTTGGTGGGTGGTTTGACCTATAGGTACATGTGGGCACACACGGTAAGAGTGGGGCGGTGAAGCGTACAGTGGTGAGAATAAACTAAGTTTATCAGAGGTGAAGATCTACAAGCCTGTTAAACTTAAACGTGATTAAAAGGTAAGATCTTATTCAAGATATTTATAATTCTAATTCTATTCCTATTTATAATTATATTTCCGTGTAGAGGTAGAGGTATAAGTACAAGTACAAGTACAAGTACAAGTACAAGTATATATATATATATATTTTAAGTATATGTTTAGGTCAACCTGATGACACATTTCAAGTAGTAGCAAGGACACCTCGGTCCAGTACCATTGTTTGGACTGATGGACTAATATCAAACCCGTGGCATCTGCATCACTGAGAATGATGACTGAGGACGCTCCCTACACTATGCAAGGTAACACAAATATGTTGAAGGCTAAAAGACCATTAATCGGCCCGTCAATACACGCAGTTACCAACAACACGTGCATATGCGCAGTGTACCGATGCATCCGTGGCCAGCTCACTTACAATAGCGTTCTTGGAGTGGTTGACCTTCATAGGGCGTCCCTCCAGGATAGCTCCATTGTACATGAGAGCTGAGTTGGCAGCCTCGTGCGTAGTGAACTCAATAAACGCAAAGCGCGTGGGCTGTGTCTCGTCGCCTGCCATACGCACGAAGTTGATGGTGCCACACAACTTGAAGAACTGCATCATGTGGTCGGCGGTGACTGTCTTGGAGTCCAGATTGCCTGAGGTGGGCAATGGGGGGTATGTACATATTAGCATAACAGCTCTCTCTCTCTCTCTCACACATATATATATACTGCGAGCGTTATATGCGGAGCTGACTACAACCTTTCTCAATAATTGATGACACTCTGCTTAACACCACCGGAAGGCACACGACTGATTTTGTGTGGATTGAGAATGTTCGTAAATCACTCGATAACACAGTGTATCAAGAACACGCACACTCTACGCACAGCACAGTACACCGTGGCGTATGTTTATCCGTAAGTCAAAAGAATATCTGCGTTGGTGCGGCCTAAAGCCATACACAAACCACACACTCCACAAATTAAACCATGCGCACGACCAGGACAAAGTGTCTGAATACGTTCACTCTACATAGAGCCCAGGTAAGATGCGTTAAACGGGACTGCCATGGAACTTCCGACGTCATGATTGTCCGCAGGGGAAGAATATCACTCGTTTCTAAAAACAACACAACGTGGTAAGAAGCGCAGCCGATATTCTCCAACTCAGCTGGAAGGGGTATTGCCGATACAGACTCTAAAACACACACACACTACACCCTATACAGCACACACACACAGCACACCCTGTACAGCACACCCTGTACAGCACACACACTTTGTATACACGCACACCACACTCTATACAGCACACACCCACCGCAGTATACGGTGCGCCTGATCTCTTCCACTCGGTTGGGGTCGGTGTTGCCCAGGTTAATGATACCATCGGGGCCTGCGGTGGCCACCCCTCCCACGGTTGCTGGACTGGATCCGCTCATCAGCCTGTGGGATGAGGCGATGCAAGTCGATATGTCCTCAAAGAGATGGGGATGATGGTGGTGTGGGGTGCAATT